CTGTTCCCATCCAGACTGCATCATCATACTGCCAAAAGGAAAGTGAGGATGACAAAGGAAGGAGGAGAGCTGGAAGGGATCCTGTCCTCAACACAAGATGTCCATAGCTACAGCACAAGGATCCCTCCATCTCCATACACAGGGCTACGAGCTACCCTTACCAAAACCACTTTTTGTCCTCTCTGCCTCAAGTATTTACACGAGCAGCACTCGACATCCAAAAAGGCTGTGTTGTATCTTAAGGGAAACATGATCTTTATCTGGAAGACTCATTTTTAACATGGACAGTGCCTGGAAATATCAGGCAACGTTAACCAAAGCATGTTAGAAGAGCGAAGTTATGAGTCAGTGAGGAAGAGAAAGACTATGAGCTACACCTCAAACATAACAAGTCCAGAAACTAACAGGAAGAAGACTAAATTTCTAAAATAAAGGACTGGAAATCTTAAAAACAAGTAAATAAGCAAATTAATTAAAAGAAAAATCAGGGAATGCAAGGACAGAAGGCATGGAATAAATGTTTTCATATTGGAAGACTAAAGGGAGAAAAGTTTTAAGGACATGCACAGAAATGGATTCCATAAGTGACCTTAAAACAGAGAAACCACACTTCTTGATAGAACCCCCATCCCTGAGAAAAAGCTAAATGGGAAATAAGTATTTCAGCATTAAGTAAGCTAAATTCATGCTAAAGCCTTTGCAAAGTCCAAATCTGAGTAGAATAAAACTTCTCCAGCAGTTCTTTCTTGTATGGAGGACACCACAGGATGGTGCATCTCCAGTGACGGCATTCTCCACTACTCTTTCCAAGCGAACGCAGAGAGCCCGCAGCATTAGGGTACCAGCTTTGTAACATCCTGCTACGTCCGTAGGTGGGTCAGAAAGTACAAACAACTTCACCTCAAAACCACAAAATACTACAGGAGAACCTGAAGGAGGAGATAATCTGGATTGTGGGAGATGGTTTATTAACTCAGTACATTAGGTAAGGAGGTTTATGATTTTTTTAAAATTAAAACTGTTTTTTTTTTCAGTGAGAAAATTTATCTCATTACAGTAGTATCCAGAGACAATTAAAAATACTATTTCCCTTACAGCTCTGCCTGAAAGCTTGCTTGCAAAAAATGGATGGTGGGGCAAGGGGTAAGAAAGAGTATGTTTAAACTAACTTCTAACTGCTGCTTCCAAACACAATCCACCTCTTCTAAGAGACAATGACAAACAGTTGATTTGCTTTTTCTTCAAAAAACTTCCTATTTCATAGATGAACTCAGGTAAAAACAAAAGTTTACTACCATCACAACTTTAATCATTAATGTTTTGCTTCTCAATGTATTGTTGTTGAGCATTGCTTACAAATATTTTTCAGCATAGGCTACGCAAGGCCAAAGGATTGGTGTTTATTCTACATATTTTATTATTCTGTGTGTGTACCAGAAGGCTGACTTTGTATCTTAAACTTCTAACTAGTTTCATCCATCGTCGATTCATTTCTCTCGCCTATTTCTTTTATGAGATTTAAAACATCAACACTCAAAGTAAAGTACTGTAAATAAACACACATGCTAATGTACCTGGTAAGCCCTCATAACAAGGCATTAAAACAACTTCAAGAAGAGAAACAGCATTAAAGTTAATTAGTGATAGTGTCTATGTCCATATATGCAATCTCATACGTATGATGGAGTGTCTGTTACATTTCCTAAAAAAAAACCCCAGAACAACACAAAAAACTAAGCGTAGCTAAGAACACAGCTTTTTGTCCAGCATTACCTCCATCTCTAAGTCTTAAGACTCATCAGAAAAAACACAAAACACACCCAAACAGAGGAAAGCATAAGATCTTACTGAGATGTCCTCAGATAACCAATCTGCTAACATAGTAAGTAGGTACTGTACTTTTACACTTTATGGACTTAAAAATAAAATAAAAAATTATGACTTGGGCGTTCCTCAAAAAATTACTTTCTTCTTGTACTAATAATAAAAATACACACACCAAGAACAGTACTACACATCATAGCTCTTACACAAGACTTATTAAAGAAAGATTTGCATCATTAATGGAATTATAATATATAAATTGATATATTAGTATATATTAGTCCTAGTTATTGTGGAATGGAGTATCAGTTGAATTCCAACTTCCATGAACATTGAAGAACTTTAAAAAGTCTGGTTATAAGAGAGCATAAAATTAGTTCTGAAGTTACAAATGCAATGATGCTACTACATCTATAGTTTACAAAAATGAAACCACAGAACCTCAGTTGAACTACAAGAGGTGAAGAGTTCTTTTAATCAAAAGAAAACCAAACACCGTGTGTTTTTCTAATTTAAGTGGCCTGTAGAAAAAACAAGCCCAGGCTGCATAGAAACAATCATTTTTATTTATTTTTAGGTAGGCAATGCAAAAATAAACGGTGTAAGCGGTTAGTGTATTAACAAAGAGACCTAGACTACACACTCCTTTCAGGGGAAAGGCATTCCCTTATGCCAAGATCATGCATCCATTTAATCCCACCCTCCCCCTTTCTTTCCCCCGGCCTTTTCTTTGGCCTGCGGGGGAGCTTGCGCCCACCAAGAGGGGCTCACTCCAGCTTTGGGAGGCACTATGTGAGAAGCTCTGGCCCAATCCTCTTCCGGTAGGAAATCATCTGACACCAATGGAGCCTGTTTGGAGAACAGGAAAGTAGATAGGCTTCATCTGACCACTACAGCAAAACTGATAACCGCTCCTGCGGCCTCGCTGCTCAGCATAGTAACGGCAAGACAGCATTCGAGCAATTAACTTGCTAAAACCGAGTACCAGGCAATGCAAGCGTACCCAGTATTCCTCGGGGCGGGGCTGGTGGGGGCAGGGGGGGTGAGGAAGGCGGAGAAAAAAAAGGGGGGCATGGCACGCCTCCTACAGCACACAAACCGGGGGGCAGGATTTTCCCACCAAGAGCATCTTCTACCCAGCGCCTCCAGCGCGCAGCAGCCAGCTCCGCTCCGCTGCCGGCCAGGCGCATCCGAGAG